GCTCCCGACCACGCCGCCGCCGCCGCCCTCGTCGTCGCCGGCTTCCAGCCCCCAGCCGCCGCGCGCGGCCGCGGGCCCCGCGCCGCCCCGGCCCGGCCCGGGCCCGCCGCCGCTGCTTAGAGCTGCATTGTCCTCCTCTTCGGGAGGCCGCGGCCAGCAGAGGCTGATGACGCCGCCGCGGCCGGTGGCGGCGAGCAGGACGCGCCCGCCCGCGGCCGCGGCGATGGGCGCGAACTCGCGCCCCAGGCCGGAGACCTGTGCGGCGGCGCGAGTTACACCCAGGGAGGGGGATGGGGGGAGCAAGGTGAAGAAAGCAGCGCCTTGATGGATCCCGAGGGCGGCCGGCAGCAAAAGGCCAGCACTCGATCCTGTTGCGCCGGCGGGGCTGTGCCCACCGCTGCAGCGGTCCTGTGGAGGGCCTTCACGGCGAGCTGGGTGCGCCCAACCCACCCCTTGACCCTGCGCTCTAGACCCTGAACCCCAGGCAACGTGCGTGCGCGGCGCGCTGCGCCGCTCGTGGGACGTGCGCATGGCCTCGACGCGAGGCGCCGCCCCTTGCCCGCGGGTCCAGCCAGCTTTGGCAAGCACTGCAGACGCGGCCCACCACCGACCAGCACCAGCACCGTCATCTTGCTGGGGTGTCATCAACAACATCCACGGGGTGTCACCGCGCACGCAGCGTCGCGCAAAGCAGCGGCCGCGCGCGCGTGAGAAGGCGACCGGTGGTGTGACGGCGTGCGGTGGGAGCAGTTGGTGATTCCCAGGGGGCGTAGCAGCGGCCGCGCGCACCTCGTACACGAGCGCCCCATCAGCCAGGTGCTGCAGCCGCCCGTCAGCAGTCCGCGCGACCGCGCCGCCAGCGCCGCTGACGCAGCACACTGCGGGCAGGCGCATGCAGAGCGTAGGGGGGCGGCGAAGAGGTGGATCCCGGCGTTTCAGGCGGCAGACAGCGTCCAAATCCGACGAGCAATCACGGGAGGTAATAGACTGGGTGGCTGCTCTGCTATGCTCCTGCTGCAATCTGCGGCCAACACACGCACCTCAACTGCAGGCGAGGTGCTGAAATTTCGCGTCAACAGTGATCCCTTGAGCCGCAGCACGCCGCCCCCCCTCGACGGCCTGCCGGCCTGCCGCAGCCCCCCCCCTCAATTCTCCCTCCAAAACACGCGGATAAAGCGGCTGCCCTGCTGCAGAAGAAGGCATGCCGACACACCTGCAGAGTAGACGCACGACTTGTCCACCCACTCCGCCCCCGCCAGCCGCGCCCCCGTCGCCGCGTCCCAAACATACACCGCGCCCCCCGCGCCGCACGACACCAGGTGGCGGTCGTCACCCGACCACGCCACGTCGGTGACCGTGCTCACGTGGCCCCGCAGCTGTCGCACGGGCGCCCACGCCGCCGCCGTAGTCGCCGCCGCCGCCGCGCCGGCAGGGGACAGGGCGCCCGCCTCGGCGGCGGCCGCGTAAAGGGCGCCGCCGGCGGGGG